TTATATTTTAGTCTAAATTAAAAAGGGGAGAGTTTCTCACACTACTAAAGTGTTATGGGATTTGAGCTTGAGACCACTGTCCGTAAGTTAAGATCTTTTTTATTTAGCTATACCCCATTAACGGATAACAACAAAAGTTAGTCCCTTACGGGTGCTGATAACTGTGAGATGCATTTATAAATAAATTAGAAAATTAGATTAAAACTCAAATGTATTAGACTTTGTTGGGAATAAACCACGTTATTTTTATTTTCAATATAAACTCATTGACTATATATCCACGTCATCAAAGTTACCATAGTGAGTGAACCAAAATTTATACGTCGCATATTATTCCATTTTTTGAGTGTGTGCGCGTAATTTACCCTCCTACAACAACTGGTTTTTTTTTTCTTTTCTTTTTTTAATGCCAACCCCTTGCTTGTCTGAATTAATAATATTTATAATAGTTGCCGTGAGAAGAATTGTGAACATTATTAGCTAGTAATTTTGTTAGACGGATTGTAATTAATGGGTTTGCCAAAGAGGTTGTAAGATAATTAAGAGATTGACGTTCGCATGTATAGGTACAACTTTACCAGCTCCATATAAGCTGAAATTGTGAATCTATGGGAAGCGCTAGGAGGCTTGCTTTGTTTTATTTGTTTTGCATTCAAATCCTTGGCAAAGGCAGCGGTGGTTTCGGAAAGGGTGGTGGCATTGGGGCTGGAGTCGGAGGAGGAGCTGCGGGTGTAGGTGCAGGAATTGGAAAAGGTGGGGTAGCTGTCGTGGGCATTGGAAAAGGAGGAGGAGGCATTGACAAGGGAGCTGGTGGTGGGTTCGAAAAAGGCGGTAGGGCTGGTGGTGGTGGAAAAGGCGGCGGAGCTGGTGGGGGATTTGGAAAAGGTGGCGTTGTAGGCGGAGGAGCTGGTGGTGGATTTGGACATATGGGTTCAAGAAATGGAAGTGGTGCTGGCGGTGGCTTCGGAAAGGGTGGTGGCGGTCCTGATAATGTTCTATTTCTGGTAGTACCGCCTTTCATTAATTTTGTGTTAAACAATTAATATTTAGAAGTAATCTTATTTCTTTGTTTTTTAGTTGAAGCAATCTTATATATCAGTGTACATTATTATTTCTGAAATTGAAGGAGTATTATTTATTCTGTGTCTGGACAAACTTTTAGCGCAGGATTAATAGTAAATTTTACTAGTTAATTAATCAATTAATTAATAG